TCCTCCTTTGTCTCCAGTGGTCACTTTATGTACCAGCTATACCAGGACTCCATGGCTATTGTTTGCTGGGCTGGATGCCCTGACATCTTCTTGACACTCACTGCAAATCCAAAATGGCACAAAATTGTTGAGAACCTCCTTCCTGGCCAGACAGCTCAAGACTGACCTGACTTAGTGGCTCGAGTCTTCCATCTGAAGCAAAATGAGGTGCTGGATTTGATCTACAAAGGCAATATCTTTGGAAAAGCAGTTGCACAAGTGTACACAATTGAGTACCAGAAATGTGGCCTACTGCACATGCATCTGTTGATTTTCCTTGATCAAGCCTCAAAGCCATGCACACCTCAAGAGGTTGATCTGCACATTTCTGCAGAGATTCCATCGCAAGAAGAAGACCCAGAGCTCTACAGCTTGGTGACAACACAAATGATGCATGGTCCATGTGGAGTTGAGTTCCCAAATGCACCATGCATGAAGGATGGTTGATGCAGCAAGGGCTTCCCCAAGTCTTTCTCCCCTGAAACATGCATGGATGCAGCTGCTTATGTTCAACTCAAGAGGCCTGATAATGGGCGCCATGTTGTCAAGCATGGTGTACAACTGGACAACTGTTGGGTTGTGCCATACCCAAAGTAAGTTATCAGCATAACTTCTCTGTTGAACCCAGAACTAAGCAGCTTTCTAGGAACCTTCTGAAGTGTGTTCAGGCACACTGTAATGCTGAATTCTGCTTTACAGTTGGTGCTGTGAAGTATATCCACAAGTATGTCTACAAGGGGCAGGATCAAACAACACTAGAAGTCACAAATGAAGTCAAGAGTTATATTGATGCAAGATATATTGGCCCTGTTGAAGCTGTCTGGTGCCTCAATGCTTTCAGAATGCATGATGAGAAGCCTTCAGTCTATCACCTTCCAATGCATCTGCCAGGAGAACACATGGTCTACTTCAATGATAATGATGAAGTTCAAGATATTGTGGAACATGGTGCAGCAACATGCACAAAGCTCACAGAGTTTTTTGCCATGAATGCATCTTTGCTACCAGAGCAGTGAGTTCTCACATATCAAGAGTTTCCAACACACTATGTATGGAAGTTAAAGGAGAAGTGCTGAGCCTTCTGGCAAGCACAAAATGCAATTTGTTGAATGTACTTTGTCCAACCAACTGCTGGTGAGCACTTTTATCTCTGCACACTCCTCACACACAAGCATGGCCCAATATCCTTTGAAGACCTTAGGACTGTGCAAGGGGTTCTGTACCCAACATTCAAGGCAGCATGCAATGCCTTAGGGCCACTGGAAACTGATCAGGAATGGCTTGAATGCTTGGAGGAAGCATGCAATATGAAAACAGCACAGCTACAACTTCTCTTTGTCACAATGCTTCAGCATTGTCATCCTGCTTCACCTGGACTACTGTGGGAGTGCTTCAAGGCCCATCTCTGTGATGATCTTTGTTGTCGTCTGCAATGCCACTTCCCCAATACAACACAGGGTGATGTGCTTGACTATGGCCTCTTCCTTATTGATCAGTTACTCCGCATGCAAGGCTCCAGCTTAACTGATGAAAAGTACAATGGTGAGTTTCCTCCTTTCCAAACAGACTGGGAGCAGTGTCTTGCACCTCATCAAAATTGTCTCATTGCAGAACAACTGGACTATGATCAAGTGGAGATGGCAGAAATGGCAGTGACAATGAAGGACCAGATGAATGCAGAACAGAGTGCCACTTTTGAAGAGATCACCCAACATGCAGGTGATGGACAGACCTTCTGGCTTCAAGGCCCTGGGGGGACAGGGAAGACATTTGTCTACAAGGCACTCTGTGCAGAGCTGTGCTCACAGGGAAAGATTGTTCTCTGTGTAGCCTCCTCAGGTATTGCAGCTTTGCTCCTCCCAGGTGGCCACATGGCACACTCAACCTTCAAGATACCAATCCCAGTGCATGATACCTCAACATGTAACATACCAAAGAATGGGCTATTGGCAGTGATGCTGAAGGGGGCAACACTCACAATCTGGGATGAAGCCACAGCACAGCATTGCCACTGCATAGAGGCTGTGGATCGAAGTCTATGTGACATCCAAGATCAGCCAACCCTTCCATTTGGTGGTATGTCAGTGGTGTTTGGTGGTGACTGGCAACAGACACTACCTGTGGTGCTACATGGGGAGCAGGAAGACATTGTAGGGGCCTGTATGCAACACTCTCATCTGTGGCAGAGCATCAAGATCCTTTGCCTTTCTCAGAACATGTGCCTCAGTGCTCAGGATCCAACAAGTGCTGCATTTGCAAGCAGG